ATAATGCTGCTCACAAGTGACTTCAGTCATGTCAGTGATTAGCTGTGGGATCGCACATAAAGCATTGGGATTTAAAACAGAAAGATCATCGTTAATGAGAACGCGGAGTACACAGAATTGTATCCAGAGAGCTCACTACAGTCTCCCCTTCCACCATAGGCAAGTCAGCACTAAACGAAGATCCACTGCTTCTTTCCATTTCGTCTACATTCAGAATATTTTATCAACTTAGCTATACTGTTAAAAAACCAGAACACTAGTGATCTGTTTTGGTTGATCACTCCGAAGTGGCAAAGCTGTATTAGCGCAGCTACAATTACTTCATGCAGTTACTTGGGATGTGGGTGCAAAAAACCTTTCAGTTTGCTTCAACCAACCAACGGGAACTGCCCCTTTGCACCGCTACGACTGGGCTGCGCCTCTGGAAGGAGGAGCGAGGAGGAGATGGGGGTGAGCATCCTCCGTAGTTTTGGCAGCAGAGCTGTGGGGCAGGGTAAGGGCTGTCCCGGCACCTGCGTTACTCTCAGGGGAGAACAGCTCTGCACCAGCTGCGGAGAGGGACCTACATGCCCATCTCCTCCCAACTGAGGTGCTCACACGTTAGGTGACGTTAGCCATCTTTCGAGCTTTTCATTAGGTTGGCTTTGTATTTAAAGAACATCTTGGGCATTTCGAAGCCTGCCGTACGACATGTCTTGTCCATGATTGCTTTTCATGAGACTTCTGGGTCTGTGTTTTCTGGGCTGTGGTAGTACAATCTGGAGCTGTGAGAGAAAGCCCTCGGGGACTAATCCGTGGCTGTGGGCCAGTTTCTGCATAAACTAGTCTTATTTTTAAAGTCCATTTTCTCCGGTACACTTTTTTTGGCCTGCAAAAGACTTCTTCATTTAAAACTAAGAACATAACACTCTCTCCTTTCAGTTGGTCTTTTGGATATGAGCCAGTAGTGCCCACAACAGCTGTACCACAGTTTAAACATTCAGTCTCTAATGGTTTGGGGAACATTAGGGTTTTTAAGGCTTCAACAGGTCTAGAGTAAATAGTGGTCAATAAAGAGTAGCTCTTCTTTGTATCCCTATGCTCTCAGTGCTCTGCGCTAGAATAAAGCATGCTTAGAATATAATCATTGCAAAATTAATATCCATGAAAGGTTCTTTTTTTTTGAAAAGAATCATAGAGAAACCTGTTTCACTAAAAGAAGAGTTTGCCAGAGTTCAACTGGCGAGAGCCTGGTAACAGGCATGGGGAAGTTTGCACGTAATGTCTGTTAGAGAAACGCACGTTCTGGGCTTGTGTCGCTCTCCACGTGTGTGTTTAATGGCTGCTATGTGGGAGGAACAAATAAATGACAGGTATTACTGCCTCTGTCGTCTTCTCCCACCCACCTATTAATGATGTACGCAAGAGCTAATTATCATTTTTTGCCTGCCTTATGGCTTTCCAGTATTGCGTGGAGTTGAAAGTTAGTGTGTGCTAATAAGTAATACTTAACAGAGTGCTTTGGACCCAAAGGAGGCAGAAACTACGTTAGCAGTGATGGGCGATTGTCGGGCGTTGCCCTTGTTAGTGATCGAACCCAATGCCGAGGACTAGCGCTGCCTTAATGATATAAGCAAATTAATGTTGGTAGAGCTGTCAAGCTGTATGGAGGAAACTGCTCATGCCTTTCAAATTTTGTGGATGTGGGTGAGAAAGCGCAATCCGATACGCTGAGCTCCTTATCGTGAAGGAAAGCCCACGGGCATCACAGCACTTCTGCAGCATTGGGTCAGTGTCTGCAGGCGCCGAGGCCCAGGAAGGGTTAAATTGCTCTGTTGGCTTCTGGCCACTTGGACTTCTTTTACAGCACGTCATGCCACTGTGCAAAAATAGTTTGTAAATCGTTCTTCTCTCTGTAGGGAATTGATTAACCCCTTCTGATACCCTTCCGGGTGCTTCCTACCGGTGTGGGGTGTAACTTGGTTCCTAGATGGGGCATTGGGGCTGCAAAATGCCGGCACGTCTCGTGCCTGATACAGCTTGCTGAATGTGAGGAGACGAGGGATGCTGGAGTAAGGAGAGGGGGGGACTTCATAGGAAAAACAGTGAAAGCGCCAGCCTTGCAAGGCATTCTTCTGAAAAATAGGATTATATAAAAGCCTGGTTACTGTGGTGCTTCTCATTAGTTGCACTGCAGGGTTGGCCGGAGCGCAGGGTTTGTTACGGTTGTCACCTTTTTGGCTGGAGCAAGGTGGCCGTTAATAGATGTTTCGGTTGTAAATTGCTTTGCGTTGAAGCACCAGTCTTGCTGAGATGTATTTTCTTTTCAGTTCAATGTTCGAAGTTAGGTAGTTTTTGGAAGCAGCTAGAAGTCGTATTAAAAGTTCAGAAGTTAATGGCCTAGCTAAGAGGTTACTCCTGCATGGCAAGCCAGAGCTCTAAAATACGCTTGTTAATTTTATTCAGGGCCGTTTGCTAGGGGTTCATATCTTTACTTCCATGGGGAAATTTCATAACATTTTCCTACCCATCAGTATTCTATTAAACATTCGTTGTGTAATCTAAAAGCCTTTCTGCTTCTCATGGTTTCCTCTTGTAGCTAATTCAGAATGCCCTAGATGGCAATTTTGGAATAAATGCATTCAGGCTGCATGGTCTTGATTTTGTTTTCTTATAAATTCAAAACAAGATTTGAAATTAAGTCCTATCATCAATTTTCCTTTAAATAATAGTTGCCTAATGACATGATTTAAGAATTTTTATCTAATGTCACAATACTCCTGGAAAAGCCTGCGCCGATAGTTGTATTGTCGTTAAAATGTCAGTGAAATCTGTTACCATACGCATTTAATACTTATGTATATATTTAGTGTTAGAGAGGATAGATCAGTGGAGTCAGTAAAAATATACGTGTGGGTCCTGCAGTGTTGGACTGGTCTTGTTCTTGCTGTGTGAGCTCTCCATTGTAATAAATTGTGCTTACAGGACTGACCGTAAGTGGGTGTGATTTGAGGTCTCCTAGAGCCCTTCATAGAAGCAGCGAGGTTCAAAGTGGACAAAAAAATAAAGTGTTACTAGTAGGGGAAACAATATAGGGATACAAATGAAGAACAGTCTTTGAGGGAGTGGAAAAACGTGCTTCTTGGGAAAGCATGAGGTTTGTTCAATTTGGATAACTCTGCTGAACATAGGATTAGATCAACTAACCTCTGCCCGTAGCAGTCTTTTAAATCTTGCCTTACTTTGCAAGGGATGTGTATCTTGAGAGGCATCTCATCTGTGGCTTGCCAAGAGGCCGTCACCAAGATGTTCTCCTTTGGCTGCGTTGCTGTATGGGATCTGTCTACTAAGAGGCAGCCTCCGGCCTGAATTGCTGACGGACAGCGTGAAAGCGGGAGGAATCACTGCGGGGAGAGTGGGCAAGAAGGTGAACTTGAGCAGAAAAGGAGAAGGGGTGGGGGATTGGTGATGACCCATGAAAAAAAAAGTCCTTTCTTTCTCAGTCCGGCTGAAATTCCTTCCTCTCTCCTTTCAAATGAATTATGTTTGTTCAGATTAAAATCCATACGAGCCACTGCAAGTAGATGCAGCTTGCTCCTGTGCTGTCCACAGAGATACACGGAATTTCACGTTTCAGTATGCGCACATCTGGTTTGATAAGATAGCAGCAATTAAATCCAGGTGTAAGTTTATCCCTTGGATTCAATGTCTGTCCACAACAATGGGAAAAATGCAACTGAAGGCCTAATAAAACAAGACTTCTGCTGGGTCTGAACAGCCGGTAGAAGCATCGCTCGCGCTGTCTGTTAAAAGGAGGCTTTCTGTGCCGGTGATTTTCCTTTTAGTGCTCTGTTTAATTGCCGTCATATTTGAGTCATTCTCTCTTCTGTTCGTCTTTTGCATTTTAGCTCTTTGCTAATCTTTATAGCCTTTTAACGTGTGCTTTATTGACTGTATTACCTGGAGCAAATTCTGCTGCCAGTAAGGTAGATTGGATCCTATCTCAAATGAAGCTGTCGCGTCAGCTCCTCTGGCAGGTTGATGACATTTGTGTCGTGACGTAGAATCAGTCCGTGATCTTTTTAAATGTCCGTTGTCTAGCCTGGTATATAACCTTGGCCTTGAGGGGGGAGGTTTCCTGTTTTTTTTTTTTTATTCCAGTTTATTTTCTGCATTATCATCCTGGTTTGCACATACCTTTCATTATATCAGGTACTGCCTGAGCTACTGAAAATTGTGAAGCTGGTTTGTCTGCTTTTCTCAAGTTGTGGCTTTCTGTAAGGCTTGTGAATCTAATCTTAGCTGGCTATCTTCTTGTTTTGAAATAGCAGTTTTCACTTTAAGGATGCCTTTATTCTAGCATACGTACGCATGCTGTATTACCTGCTTCCTGGAGCTACTGCTAGGAATCTCAGCTGCATTTTACTTTCTATGGACGTTTTAAAGTGACAGGGGAACTGTAGCTTTGCATTGCAGCACTTGAGATAAGATGTTTGGTATCTTGACTGAAACGTTCAGGAAGCTGGATTTTTAATGCCTAAGCAGCATCTGGGTGTGGCAGAAAAAGTGTCGTCATACTTGCTTACTATATACATGGCATCCTTTTTTATTATTATTAAAGCCCATGGGAAGCAGACGAATAGTAAGAGTTTTGTATTGAACACTTCATGGTTTGTTTTTTTTTTTTCCTGGTGATGCTGTGGTGTTGTGAAGAAATGAGCTTACAATCTACTTACTGCTCAGTTGTTTGGCTGACGGTGATATCTCTAGAATGGGCTGTAGTAATCCCAAATCCGTGGTAGATGTTTCTTTCACCAGTTTACAATGAATAATCCTCTTAATTTCCTTGAATAGCAGCTGGTATTGCTACAACCTGTGCCTAAAACCAAGAACAGCTTATTCCGAAAGCCGCCTGGCCCTGCGAGCAAGGAGGAATTTTCTCCCAGCAGGGGTTGCGTGGGCTAACTTCCGCAAGGACAGCACTGCTGAGACGCTAACTTCTCCTTTCTCTCTTCTTCTAGATGCAGCAGCTGTTCTATGAAAATTATGAGCAGAACAAAAAAGGTTATATCCGAGACCTGAGGAACAGCAAAATACACAGAGCTATAACGCTGCACCCCAATAAGAACCCCCCGTACCAGTACAGACTTCACAGCTACATGTTGAGCCGCAAGATAGCAGAGCTGCGCCACCGGACTGTACAGCTGCACCGGGAAATTGTCCTGATGAGCAAATACAGCAATACAGAAATCCACAAAGATGACCTGCAGCTGGGGATGCCACCCTCCTTCATGCGATTCCAGCCCCGCCACCGGGAAGAAATCTTGGAGTGGGAGTTTCTTACAGGAAAGTATTTGTATTCGGGTGCCGACGGGCAGCCCCCTCGGAGAGGAATGGATTCTTCTCAGCGTGAAGCGTTGGATGACATTGTTATGCAGGTCATGGAAATGATCAACGCCAACGCTAAGACCCGGGGGAGGATCATAGATTTCAAGGAAATACAGTATGGCTATCGCCGAGTAAATCCCATGTACGGAGCAGAGTACGTTCTTGACTTGTTGCTTCTGTACAAAAAGCATAAGGGGAAGAAGATGACCGTCCCTGTCAGGAGGCACGCGTACTTGCAACAGACATTCAGCAAGATCCAGTTTATGGAGCACGAAGAGATGGATGCCAAAGAGCTGGCCAGCAAAATCAACCAGGATTCTGGATCCTTGTCGTTCCTCTCCAACTCGCTGAAGATGTTTGTTCCCTTCCAGCTCATCAGATCAAAATCAGAGAGGAAGGAACTCAAAGACAAGAAGATCAACATCCTGATTCCTCTCTCCGGACGTTTTGACATGTTTGCAAGGTTCATGGGAAATTTTGAAAAGACGTGCCTCATTCCAAACCAGAACGTCAAGCTGGTTGTCCTGCTTTTCAATTCCAACTCCAACCCTGACAAAGCAAAGCAGATTGAGCTGATGAGAGATTACCGCTCCAAATACCCCAAGGCTGACATGCAGGTTTTACCGGTGTCAGGGGAGTTCTCGAGGGCACTGGCTCTGGAAGTCGGATCTTCTCAGTTCCAGAACGAGTCTTTACTTTTCTTCTGTGATGTTGACTTAGTGTTTACCACGGAATTCCTCCAGCGGTGTAGAGCCAACACAGTTTTGGGTCAACAAGTATACTTTCCCATCATTTTTAGCCAGTATGATCCAAAGATTGTTTATAGTGGAAAAGTTCCTAGTGACAATCACTTTGCCTTCACCCAGAAAACAGGTTTCTGGAGGAACTATGGCTTTGGTATTACCTGTATTTACAAAGGTGATCTTCTTCGAGCGGGTGGCTTTGATGTCTCCATCCAAGGCTGGGGCCTTGAAGACGTAGACCTATTTAACAAAGTCATTCAAGCTGGCTTAAAAACTTTCCGAAGCCAAGAAATTGGAGTAGTCCATGTGCATCACCCTGTTTTTTGTGACCCTAACCTTGATCCAAAACAATATAAAATGTGCTTGGGGTCCAAAGCTTCAACTTATGGGTCCACGCAACAGCTGGCTGAAATATGGTTTGAAAAAAATGACCCAAATTTTGGGAAAAGCAGCAATACAAATGGCTCAGTGAGGACAGCCTAATGTCCAGCTATGCTGGAAAAGACTCTTTTTTTAATTATCTAATTTATTTTTGGGAAAATGGTTTTTGATAATTCACTTTTAAAAGACCACACAGGATATATTTTAGAAACCATCATTGTTTTCTTACAAAGTGCTCGTTTTGAGAAGAACAAGGCCGTTGTTTTTTTGTTGTTGTTGTCGTTTTGGTTTTGAACAAAACTGTGATCAATATTTGCCTTCAAACAAAAAAATTGTTTAAGAGTTATCTGACCGATCAGCGGAAATCTGACTTGAATTAGAATTTCCTTATGAACAAAAGGTTGTTTCCTACCTTTTCTGTTGCCATCTTCGTTGCTGGGATTCTGTAAATTGGGACCTGAGCGTAGAAGCCAAGTGACAAAACGGTGTATCTAAATGTTTTGTTGTGACGGCTACCGTGCAAAGATTCTGCTTCTTTTGTTAAGGAGAGCCATTATTTTTTGGATTGCGTTAGAACAAAATAAGGCGGTATGGCGATGGTAAGGGTATTAATCGCAGGAGTTTTTTGTTCTGTTTTGGTTTGTTTCCAAATGGCTGGTTATTTCAGTTTAAAAATAACACTTCCACTTATTATGGCCAGGCGACTTCAAGGGAGGGAAGAAAGTAAGCACAACCTGCTATCCCATTAGTCCTTGTAGAAATTTTTGTCTTTTGTATTTGGTCCATATATGGACATAATGTTTTAAGAATCCGTGGTGGGTTCTGTGTATTATCCTCAACCGCTGTCCTGTCTAGAGCTGAGACGATGTGATCAAGAAATGCCGAAGTGTAATGAGGGAGGGGAAGAGGATGGGAAATGCGAATCTCTTGCAGGAAAGCGACAGTACACAACGAACAATTAGAGATCCCGAACGAGAACTTTGAAAAATCTTCCGTACTGAGTGTACTGCACCTGATTGCATTGAATTTGTTCAGTCGGTTACGTGACGTTAATGGGAACAATTATTACATTTGATTACTAGTTTCGTTTTGGGATTATTTTTTTCTGTATCTGATAGTCCGTTAATTTATTTAATATCCATCGGTTTAGGTTCTTGACCTTTGCTTGAATATCTGTTAGTCATTTTAATATTTTATATATATATATATG